AGGGCCTCTGGGCTTCGCAGTGGCTTTGGTGGTTTGTTGGTCGAAGATAAACAGGGTATAGAGTCTGCCAAGTGTCCTGCCCCCTGTATAGGAAGGCTAAAATTGTGGTTTTCAAGTTTCAGAGGAGTACTTTTCGGATGTCTCTGGTATGGGAGGGTGGCGGTGTAGGGGGAATGAAAAAGGAATAGAAAAGGATAAACAATCAGTACTAAAGGATCACTGAGAGCCATCAGTACTGCGGGGGTGAGCACCCCAGCACCCCTCCTTCTCAGAGCTGTTCAGAGCAGATGCCCAAGAGAAACGGTGATGAACTTTAAGTAACGAGGCCAGGCCAGGGCGGGGCAAGGACAATGCATTCCCTGGTAGGTAGCCTTTCCTGGGAATTCATGGAGTGGCCTCAATGCCAGTGACCCATGCCCATAGCCAAATAAGGCTCTGCCTAGTCCACTGCTGTAGTCCCCTTACACGCATAGTAGGTGCTCAATAAATGTTGGCAGAATTCAACATGTTGGTGGAATCCTTGGCAGAACACCGTATCTATCTGAAGACAGAGGCTCCTTGGCGAGAATGTTAACCCTCTCACAACATTTTTGAGGTCCGGGAGAAGTAGTTGAAAACTCTAAGTCCTGGTCTCTGAATTTCAAGACCCCCTCAAACCATGTGTTCCCAGTTACAAGGGTAACACATAGCTGTGTGGTGTTCGGCCACTTTCCCCTTTTAATTAGCATGTGTCGCTGGCTGAGGCTGTGTACAGAGCTGTAACTCTGCACCAACTCAACGCAGGGTCACCACCGCTAAAACTCCAGGGGGCGGCTCTCCTTGGTCACACCTGGCCTTGTAAGAGCCAGCTCTGAACGGGAAAGCTGTGTCCTCACTGACGAGTGATGGCTAAAGAAAAGCACAGTTTCTAAAAAGAGGACAATCGTTACATGAAGTTTCGACATAGCCCACATAACGAGGGATCTTCGCTGCCCTCTGCTTGGAAAGAACTTTCTCTCTCATTCCCTTCTCTTTATCTGCCTAACTCACTTTCTAAAAGTCAGCTCGGTACCACCTCCCTCAGGAAGCTAAAATTCCACATGGGTTAGGTTTGGGGGCCTGCTTTTATGCTCTTAAATCTCCTGTACCCCAATCTTTAGTAACAGTAATAGCTAACATTTGATGAGTTTACTATGTAAGGGACAGAACAGTCTCCGTAAATGATACATGGCATCGGCTCCAAGAAACATACAACAGGAAAGAGCTGGTAGGATGTGTGCATTCATCCCTCTCCCAGCCCATGGAGAGGTGTGCTTGGGCTGGACATGGCTGGACACACTGTGCATTGTGTCCCAGGAGGGGTACCCCAATCGCCTGCACCCTCACGTATTTATAAAAGGATTGAGAGGAGACAGGAACCACTTCAGTGAGCTGGAAGCCCCTGATCTTTGCAACCTGGAGGACCAGCTA